TGGGGTGACCAACTTGTCTAAATTCCAAAATGACAACAGAATGATATGTCCTTTATTTAACTATATTTGTTTCATAATATCTTCTTCCGTTTTTGAAATTTTATCTATTTAATTTTTTATATAATAATTTTTATTACAAAAATAAAAATTTCTATTATTTTTAATTTAAATTTTAATAAATCCATAAAATTAGTTTGTTAATTATTACATATTTTAAGTATTTGATTAATATATATTAACAAAATATGAATTTATTATATTATCAAGTAATCATGAATTTTCATGATATTTAAAAGTATTATTTTATCATAAATATTTTTAAAAGTATATAATTAATATACTATACAAATTTTTACAATCACAATATATTAAAATTAAATTAATATTTTAAAGTTTGTGACTTTAATTTCTCTCGTTGACCATTTTGGCTAGGGATTACACAAAACGTTTTTCACTCATTTTTTCTCCGAAACGGACTAAACATAAGTCATCATTTAAAGAGGAAAATAGAACACAGGTTACCATTACCTTTTCATATCAAATTTTGACAAAGTTCCTCTTTTTAAGGAAAAGGGATATTGCTGGGGAAGAGTTAGTTGTTTTATTTATCAAATCAAATTCATTATGAATTGACAAATAGACAAATGTAATTTTGTTTATGTATATAATATTATAAAGAAATCAAGTTAATCATTATTGATTAGGGTTTAGGATCATTTCATTTCATTTTTATAATTATTTAATTCTAATAAATATTCAATTGAAAAAAATCAACACAAATAATTAAAGTAATATATAATTATAAATTAACAAACAAATGAACAAAACTAAACAAATTATCGATGGTGTAATTCTTGGTACATTTTACACTAATATAAATTAATCATTCTTTTATACAAAATTATGAATTATACATTTATAAATAATATACAATTTTATATATTAGCATTACATATATTAGCAATTTAATTAATAAAAAAATATTAGAATCATTATTTTATTAAGTTTGATATACATTGTTATTCTATTTATTCTATTTTTATATATATTATAAATAGAGAGTACTCCCATCATTTCACTGAAATAAAGCCGCCTAACTTTAAAAACCAAACATTATATGTTTTAGATAAATCTTAAGTACATAATTCCATTCTGAAGAAATTTTTTCCAAATTAGAGTTTTAAACATATAAATATAAAATTGTTATACTGTGTTGTGAAAAAAAAATTAATACATTAAAAAATAATCACACGTTTATTTCATAGTTATTTCATTATAAATAATTGTTATCTAAGTTTGATTGATAACATTAAATATGTTAGAATACTAAAGTAATACTAATGATACTAAACTATGGAACTAAAAATTAGCATGTAACATTTTCAAGTTTCAAAATTTTAATAATATTTACATAAATTAATTTATGTATATGATTTAAGATTTAAGGTTTAAAGACTTTTTTAATAGATAAACTACAAAAATCTTAGGAACTAATAACAAAAATACTAATATATATATATATATATATATATATATATATATATTTATTTATTTATATAATTTTAGGAACTAATTTTTTGTCATAATTTTAATGACAAAATTGATACGTGCCTATAATTTTAGAAGTTAAAATAATTATTTTTTAGAGAATATAAATTATATTTTATAGTTTCAAAAATAAAATTAAATAGTACATATAATTTTAATAATTAAATTGAATGACACTTATAATTTTAATGAATAAAATGATATCAACATTAAAATAATTAAATTTCTAATTTTATAAATTAAAATAACTTATTTCAAAATTTTAGGAAATATAGTGATTAAATTCTAATAATTTAAAATATTATTAAATTTATTTCAAAATTTAAATTAACATATGTATACAATTTAAATAATTAAAATAACGTATTAACCATATATATTTCGAGGGGGTAAGGTGGTAGGTACATCTACTAATCTTATTTTCACTATTTAAAGAAGTAAAAATTGAAATAATATTAATTACAGGGGAATTTAAGTAATTAATTTAAATTTAATTTAAGATATTTATAAAAAACATAAAATATAAACTAAATATTTTTATAATTTAAAAATAAATTTTATATATTTTAAAAATATTTATTTTTTAGATTTAAAATATATAGGTTGATTTTAACTTGTGAGATAAATTTTATTTTTTTTATAAATATTTTAAAACTTTACTCAAATTAAAATTTATTTAAGTATTATTTAATAAACCTTTATGACTTAAGGGGCTAGAATATAAATTTATTCATAAAATTTATTATAATAGGTTGTAAAAATAATGAGAATTATAAAATATTTTTATAACATCTTCATAAAATTTTTTAAATGTCCCTTAAGACAAAAGTTTGTACACATATGACATTTGAAAAGTATTTATAGCCTAAAAATAGAATAAAAAACTATATAAGCCTAATTAAACACACAATTAAATCAAATATAAAATTTAGATAAATCTTAATGGAGTGTAAATTTAAAAAATCCTAATTATATACGTATCTTCCTAGTCAATTAATAACATGATAATATTTTCTTCCTAAAATCTATAAAATAAAAATCATAAATGGTTGAATTACCTAAGCTTATCTTTTAAGTGACAATTTCAATTTCAACATGCATTAAAGGGCTGTTTGTCTTTCCGTAAAAGAGGTTACAAACGGAGAAAGCGTGATTTTGCATGCACTTTAGAGTGAAGCAATTATTATTATTATTTTCCTGCATAAGCAATAAGAAGTTGATTGGAGTTGTTACAAATGTTAATTTTATAAATATTAAATTTAATTTATTAAATTTCACATAAAAATTTTTACTCTTATTTTGAGAATTGTTGATTTAAAATGGGATGAAAATACGGTTTAACGGTCAACAACTTCTGGTCAAAATATTTTATCGTAAGCATGTCAGGTTCATAATTTCATAAATGGTAGGTATAGGCAATTATACATAGAATGGTCCCAACCAACAGAAATAACGCATTCCATAGAGTATTAAATGAGGGAATTGTGTTTTTCATGTATTATGCCCATTTAAAGAAAAATAGGCTATAAAATATCTCAACTAAAGTTGTGAGCTTTTCAAAATTTGTCAATTTGTAAAAGAGAGACTTCTACCCTGTTTGGTTTGAGAAATAAAAAACAATGAGAAGATATAATTTAAATAAATAACTGATTACGTATAAATAGTTTTTTAATTTTTTAATATAAAAAAACACAAAAGGATAGATTTTTTGAAGTAGATAAATGGAAGCAAACATGTGAAATTTACAACAGTTAAATAATTGTTATTAAATCTTAATTGTCAAAATATATAATTAATTTTTCTAAAACTTGTTAAATATAAAATCATTCAATAAAATTTATAACATTTAAAATTTTCATTTTTAAATATTAATTTTTATATTTTAAATTTGGTTTTTTATTAATATTCTTATATAATTGGTTAATATTTATCAACTTTAATAAAAAAAATTAATATCATTCCATTTTTTTCAATAACAGTAATCGGGTTAATCATTAAAATTACGACTATAGGTCAACTTACTTTTTTAAATTATAAAATACTAGTATTTATTTATTTTTTTATAAATAAGACTAAGATGATGTGTTATTTTTCTTTAAATTCAAATAATTAAATATTTATTATTTTATTATTTAAATTTATACATAAAAAATACTAATCTTGAACAAAGACTGAAGAAATGCCTTTACAATTTTAAAAATTAAACTAGGTGATAAAAAAAATCTATTGCATTTTTATTAAGAAATTATTATTGTGCTAAACAAATTCAAATGATACTGAATTGCTGAGAGCATGAATCTCTTACAAATAATTTAAATTAACAAATATTTTAAAGTCTGAGTTTTGAAAAGATGTTACATACAAATTTGGTAAGAAAAATCATTTTTAATTACTTTACCAAATTATTTAAATAAAACGAGTCACATTAAAAATCATTTATTAATTTTAATAAAACAATATTAAACTAATAAATATGATTAATATATTTTAAAATTAATAAATAAGTATATTAAATCGTGCTACAAAACAATATGAAAAGTATATTAAAAATTTTGATTTTTTTTTTATCTTTAAAGATATTTTTGAGTGCCGATTAATAATAGTGTTGGTAATTAGTAATACAAAAAGGTTAAATTTAACCTTAGTAGTTCATAATAAAATACCTTTATTATAAGTATTTATTACACTTTTGTACTTTTAATATAATAAGAATTTTTTATAAAAAATTATTATTTTAACACACTTAAAAAAAATTAACTATATAAACCAAGGTTAATAAATCTATTGATAATAAAATGAATATTTTAGAACCTTGAAGTTCAAGAGGGTAGCAAAACCCTTATTTGTTGTCCCAATATATATGTAACATGTATAAGTACTTTTCCATATCCATATATCACATTATATCATGGATCACACTAAATCCATGTTGGATATATTTGCTTATGAAAACTGTTTGTTTATGATTCGATCGAGGGAAGGTTTGAGCTAGGCACATCTCATAATAATAAAAATGTTAAGAATTAAATTGAAAATTTTAATTTGATATCCCATTGGAATATCTTCTATTACATTTACATAATTTTTTAAATTCATCTATAACAAAATTATACGATGTATACATTTGTTATTCATTCCTTCAAATAAAATAATAAATACTAACGAGCATCTATTGTGTAAAGAATTACAAATAAAAAATAAAATTTAAATAATATAGTAAATATATTATCTTTTACGATATTTAATGTAATTTAATATGATTTTTAATAAAAAAATCGCATTTAATTTTTTAATTAATGTTCTAATAACACTGATTTCAGAATAAAAAAATGACCTGATAATAAGCCTAACACGTAGTCACGAAGGGATATATTGGTAGTATATGAAATTTATGGAAAAGCGACTCGACCAATGTGGCGTTTTAAATTTCCAGTGCCAGGTCAGTTTCCGACCAATGTCTCTTTTCGTCATTCCAACTGTTTTCTCTCTCCTACTATGTTTTTCTTCCTCCTCTGCTTCCCTCTTCTCCTACTCTCTCTCCACATTTGCATTAAATTTTCTCGCTCTAAATTTTTCTTTCTGTCCTCCAGCTGTGGTATTTCTGTCTCTGTCAAAGGCCAGAACCCAGAAACCCCACTCGTTTCTTCACAAACCAAACAAATTAACTCTTCACTTTCCTTCCAAGCTCAGAGAAACAACACAACCCAACGTCGAAGAGCTTGGAATACACACACCCCAAGTGCTTGATTTTTCCATTCATTCTAGGAACCATTTTAATACTGAGGTAAAGCTTTTGAAACAACATTACCCTCCCTTTTTTAAATCCATTTTTCTAAATAGTTTACCGTACCAGTTTTCATGAAACTTAATCGGTGACTTTTGGGGGTCTTGGTTGAAGTTTGAAGGTGAAAAGGGGTGTTTTTATTATCTTCCAAGGGAAAAGTTTCCATCTTTAAAGGTTTTTCTTCTCTGGGGGGTGGGGTTTATTCTCTTGTGCTTGTTGGAGGCACGTTTTGATGATCCTATGTTTGTGTTTTTTTCATGTTGTTTCTGTGGGTTGTTGTTGTTGGTAGAGGCGCTCATTGTTTTGCCTCTTTCGGGTGTGGTGTTGTTTTTGGCGTTTGGAGAAAAGTCCTTTTGATTTTTGGTGTGTTTGCTCTTGATTGTTGACGGTTCTTCGTTCCTTCCGTGTTTGCTTGCAGTGTGATTTCTCTGTCAGGGTGCACTTCGAGTTGGGAGAACAGCAGATAAAAAATAAAATCATAGTTATTTGTTCTGTCTGTTTTCTTGAGATTTACGTTTTGCAATGACGAGAAGTTGACAACTTCCTTCACCTTCAATTTCTCGTGATATATCTCAAGGTACGTTTCATTTCTCGCTATTATGTAGTTTTGGGATTTTTACACAATTGAATCCATGTTTTTATTATTTATTTTAAAAATGTTTGTCCAACGTTGAAGTAATAAAAAATATTATTTTTTACTAAACATTATAATATTCAATGTCATTAAAGTATTGAATTTTGAGATGTTTTATTATTTTTAATAACAATTTACTATATAGTTTCATTATATATTCTTAATTACACCTTAAGAGATTTTTTTATTGAAAAAGGAATTTATTAAATTTAGCTTTTTAATAAGAAAATTCCTATATTTAGCACTTCAACTCAGAACTCGTGTAGAAAGTTAATATTTCTTGTTAAAAAAACCTTTCTAGTCATTTTTTGTGATAAACAAACATAATGGGTGGATTTTATTTTTTGGGGTCTGAAAAAGTGCTGGATGCAATGTGCAAACATGAAGATGTTTCCTGCCTATGGTGATTGCTCCAATGTAAATGCATGATTTCTTGCTACATTTATGACTTTTGGGTGTTGTAATGCGTGGGAAGAGTTGGTACTTGCGAAAGTTTGTTTTTGGATGAATTTTTTGAATCCTGATTTCTCGTCCTGTGTTTTTCATACAAGGTAAAATGTGGAATTTTTAGAACATGAAGAATCTCATGTTGTATAATTTTGACTTTTTAATGATAGGCATGTGAATATCTGACATAGTGGATGTTGAAATGACATGGCCTTGGAAAGATGTTACAGAATGAGTCACAATAATTTCTCTGTCCAAAAAGATTTTCCTACCAATTTTTTAGTTTTTTTTGTCATATATTATCATCGGTCGTCAGATTGACTAAATAATTAAAAAGGTTATTTATTATAGGATTTTGTAACGAATGAATATTCTAAAGATATTGGTTGTAATTTTTTTATTAAAATTTGGGTAAAAAAGAATATATAAGTGGTAAAAATATTATCCTGCTGTTTTTTCTTTAACTTTTTCTTACAATGGTACAGTTGTACGCAGTACATGTTCTCAGAGGCCGTGATTTTAGTCACGGGAAAACATAAATGATCTCTGTTAACTGTTAAGTACAATCATCACATTGTCTATTTGCCTAAACTATCATTGTCTTTATTTGTTCCATAAGAATGTACACTTTGCCTAGATCTGAAAATTTTGAAAATTAAGAAGGAAAGAATAATAGAGTTGAAATTTTCAGTTTGTTTGGATTAACAAAAGTAAGTAAGAAAATAAAGAAAAAGATAAAATGAGTTTTTTTTTCCTTGCTTGATTAGATAAAAATTAATAGAAAAAGCTATTTTATTATAAAGACATTTTTGTTCTTATAATGCAAATTTTTATTATTTTCTTTCTTTCCTTTTTTTCTCAAAATTATTTCTATGGGTGGGTCATACTAATTTTTCTCTTTTTCTTTCCATTCCTTCTTGCTCAGAATGTGGAAAAAGTGATTTCGATTTTATGTTTTTTCTTGATTTTCTTTCTACATAAACTTTAGCCGGCCTACATAGATACACGTGTACTGTTGGGTGATATAAATGTCTCTTACACCATCCGTTGGGTGATAAATTTTCCAAGAGCTATGTTTTATGTCATTTTATTACATTGACACAATTTTACATTTCCTTAGTTAAGTAGAAAACTATAATTCGTTACATCATTAATTAAATTTTCCTTTTTCCTTCTTTATGTTTGAGACATACCCCTTGGTGTTTGTGTGACACATTTTCCAATTTCCATTTATCACGATTATAATAAAGTGAGATATTTACTTTCATATGGGTGCTGCTACAACACTGACCCAAGTACTATACTCCAAAGCTAGATCTAAAAGATGATGGCTATGCAAATCAGGGAATCCATGAATCATGCCAATATAATTTTTCAATAAAAAAACAATTGTTAGATTTTTTTTTTTTTTGGGTAGAATGATTGTCGTGATTCAAATATGATTTTACCAAGATCCAATGATTACAAAAAAGTTATAATTTTCCCGAAATTATCATTGGGTTTTACCATTCCTTAGCAAGTAAACGGAATCAGTGTTGACGGTGACCATCATCAATCATTTTAACTTTCATAATAGGTTATGCCAAAGAAACTAATTTATAGGTTACATATTACAAAAATGACGATTAATCGAGTGATGGGCCTAACGCTCCTACGCTCCTTGAAGCGCGATTAGGATAAAGTATGTGGAAATGATGAGCTTGTTTTCTTGTTGGGAGGTGGGGTTAAATCAGTGCCAAAGTAATAAAGTTTTGATTTTTCAATGTATAATAAAACATTGTACTTTTTTTGTAATCTATTTTTCAATTGCTAAGTCTTGTTTTCTACCTTTTGCTTGTTACATAATCCCTTTGGTTTTCCTTTAAGAATCTTGTTGCTAATTGCCATCTTGGACAAGATGCATAGTATTACGTGGATAAACTACAAGTTTTAGCTTTTTAATGAATCTTTAGATCTTGTCCTTCAGTTTCTATTCTTTTGCCCACTACACGTTTGTATGTTAGAAACTACATTTTGACGCTCTTTACACTAGGCATACATTAAAATAAAATTTTAATAGATATAAGCACAAAAAGAAAAATTCCCTCCTCTACCAAAGGCCTCGATCTATGTGTTAAAGCATTTGCCTTTTATTTTGTTAATAGCTTTTATATGAACATGCCCATCATGATCACCATTGTGTAATAACTTTATTGTCCTTGTGAATGGTTTAAAACGTTAAGAGTTATAGATTTGAATAATCACAATCCTCATCTCCATTTGTTAATGTTGGTGCAGATGGAATCCGTGAATCCGTCAGCAGTGACTCCAAGAAAGAAGTTGGCTCGAAGTTTTGCTAAGGTTCTTCATGTTAAAACACTGATTGGAATTGCCTCAGTTGATGGGTTGAAGAATGTTATATCCGAAACGAATCTCAAAGATGAAGGAAACATGGATAAGACTACATTAAATTGGTCTGAGTCTTTCGACTCAGATGGTGATGAAGAGCTTCAAGAAAGAGTGGCCACAGAAGCTCTTCTTGCAAAGCTGTTTGCTAGCATTTCAACTGTTAAGGCTGCATATGCTCAGCTACAATTTGCTCAATCGCCTTTTGACCCTGATGGAATTGAAGCTGCCGATCTATTGCTAGTTTCTGAGTTGAAGAATTTGTCTGAGCTTAAGCAATGTTACTTGAAGAAACAGTTTGATCCTTCGCCCGAGACAGCGATTCTTGAAGCTGAATCAAAGGAGCTGCAGGGTGTTCTAAAGACTTATGAGATCATGGGGAAGAAGTTGGAGTCACAGGTGCGGCTTAAGGATTCGGAGATTGTGTTTCTTAGAGAGAAGTTAGAGGAAGCTAATAGGCATAACAAGTCAATTGAGAAGAGATTAAATCGAAGTGGTCAATTATCTGTGCTTGATAATGTTCATATATCAGGATTAAGTCCTAATCACTTTATAAATGTTCTTCGCCACGCGGTTAGGTCCGTTCGGAACTTTGTGAGGTTGATTGTGGATGAGATGAGAGCTTCAGGTTGGGATATTAATGCTGCTGTTGATGCCATCGAACAGAATGTGGTTTACTTGATAGAAGATCACAAGTGTTTCACAATTGAGGCCTTTGTTTGCAGGGAAATGTTTGATGCTTTCCACTTCCCTAACTTCTCCCTTCCAAATGAGTCTATTCCTGACAGAAACAAGAGACAACAATGGTTCTTTGGGAGGTTCAACGAGCTGAAATCCATGAAAGCAAAGGACTTCCTTGCCGAGAAGCCAAGATCATCGTTTGCAAAGTTTTGCAGGATCAAGTATTTGAGACTTGTGCATCCCAAGATGGAGTCATCATTTTTTGGTAACCTTAGTCAGAGGAACCTTGTGAATGCTGGAGAATTTCCCAACACTGCATTCTTCACTTCATTTGCTGAAATGGCTAAGAGGATATGGCTCCTACATTGCTTGGCCTTCTCTTTTGAGCCTCAAGCTGAAATCTTTGAAGTGGGGAAAGGGTGTAGATTCTCTGATGTGTACATGGAAAGTGTGAATGATGAAATTTTCCTCTATTCAGACCAGACAGTGGAATCAGATCCACAAGTTGCATTCACAGTAGTTCCCGGGTTTAGAATTGGTAAAACTGTTATACAGTGTCAAGTGTATCTCTCACAGCACCAAACCAAGGTAAAAAGGTTCACCTCCACTAAGCAAAGGTAACAGTAGCTGGTGCCAGGCACTGACCCTACAACACCAGTGATTGAACTGGAAGCCATTTTTTTTTTAGTTGAGCTTTTGGAGGGAAGGGAAGGACTGTGTTTTGGTCTTGTGGGGACTCAACTCTGGCTAGGATCACTGGGGCATCTTTGTCCATTTGTATTTTGGCCATTTTGAAAAGAAAAGCTATTGGACCGTTGCATTGGGAACAACCCTTTTCTTTAGAATCTTTTTTAATTTATGCTAGATTTATCAAAGACATCCCCCCCAAATTTTGTATCAGGCCAGTGACAGGGATTGTCTAGCTGTTATGCATCTTTACTGGACATTGCATTATATAATATGTACATAATGATATATAGGTGGGAATATTATAATCCTCTTTTCCTTTTTTATATCTTTTTCTGCCCGGTTTCCTTATTTTTGACCTCCTATTTAAGTTTTGACTCTTATTTAAACTTTCATGTTAAAAAAAACATATAAACACAAATTATCACCAATAATATTGTACGCGTTTGGATTCACTTGCAAATTTTACAACTAGTAGTATTAGATTATGCATAGATCTATAGATATTTTAATGTGAATCTAAACATGGCATGAGTTTAATTCTAATGCCACTTGTGGGTGTGGATGGATCATAGATCTTTAGTATTATTCCTCATTCCTCTTATGGAATGGTGCTTCTTGTGAAGAAAAGAAAGTAAATGAAACGGCAATTTTGCCCTTGTAGAAATGAAAATCATATCATTTAATGGGGTTAACTAATTTTTGGGACTGTGGTTGTACGATCCACATTGGGTTTGTAAGAGTATTGAAAGCTAATTAGGTCCCACATGATGCCAACTTTATTCAACGAAGTCGGTGTTGAAGGGGCATGTGAAGACAATATTTGCAAACCTTTCCTTGTCCCATAAAAGAGATGTGGTTATGTATCTTCCTATAATGCTTCCTAACCCTTGCAAATATCTGATAATATGAGTGATTGTGCGCATATTGGGCTACGGCTCACATGGTAGAAGTGGAAAGTGGCAAGGACCATATCGATCTTTGGGTGCTTTCAGGTCCTTCAAATCTAGCAAATATGTCATCTTCTACGGGGAAATAATCGTGGGTGATTTTCTTGCTCTTCTCATAATCTCTAGTCCATGTGGCAGGGATTAGAGGGTTACATTTAGATATAAAATTTACTTGGCTAATAGAAACAGAAAATATATGATAAGATACTTTCTTTTTATCTTATCATATATCTAACATTTATCTAATCAATACAATATGATAAGTTTAATACATAGATTTATTTTATTTTTTAACATAAATAATATTCTGACTAATTTTTTACATAAAAAATAAACATGATAAAATAATATAATATGTTAAATTTATTACTTTAGTAAGCATTAAATATAAAATAACATACTAATTGACCTTGCTTTTATTTCATCTTATTTTTAATAAATTCCGATGTCCTATTTTTTTAACCTATTACAATTGTCAAACGAGTCTATGTGTTATTATTATTATTTTTTTAATGCAGAGGCCTTGATCTTTTGCTTCTCTTTGAAAGTAATTCTTAGGGAAAACTTTTTGTCATTTTATGTATTTTAGAGTGTATTTTTAAGATGAGTATAAAAAATAGCATCAATTTTATCTGAGTAAACTCTGAAATTAATATTGTGAAACGAAGTCATTTAACAATAAAAATTAATATTATTATGATTTAAATTCTTAATTAGACTAAAGTGTTTTAAAGTTAGGAATTAATAAATTTATTTTAAAATCTGGCACACTAATTTATTTTGATAAGGGGCATTGAATTGAGAGGCTTTGAATTTGGTGTGAAAGGACAGGTACCCTCTGATAACAGAGATGACAAAAGAAAAGTGGGGCATATATAAAGATGGTGGAATAAAAGGCAACAATGTATTACACACATTTTTGGGCCTAATGTGTGGACATTTGTTCAATACTGTTATGGGCCTCATGGTTTCCAGAAATATGAGATGAGTTATTTTGAAGACAGTGAAGGGAATGGAATCAAACAACTCAAATAAGTCTCTGAACTATTATTTAGATTATAAAATAAAGTCAATAGAACTCAAATATTCAATCTATCTTGCTTCATCTTATTTGTTTGGGCTCTGAACATATTTGGGAAATGAGATTTCTATTTAATTTTGATTTACAAATATCCAAATACTATGTTACCTATTTAACACTTTATATCTCTATCTCTCTCTTCCTATCACATCTTATCATTTATAATGTCTATGTTTTTTTCTTTTTTTTAATCTCATTTTAAGAGACGTTTAGTAATTGATTTTATTTTTTTAAAATTTCAGGATTTTTGAATTATTTTTAATTAAAATTTTCAAGAAAACATTCCTGTAAAAAAAATATGAATATAATATTTTCATGAAAGTAAAAAGATTTTTACAATGTAAAATATAATTATACCTCTTAATGTTTTTAAATTTAAAACTAATTTATATTGTTTATCCATGTTATCTCTGCTCAAAATTTCTATTATTAACTTGCTATTATAATTGATTTTTTTAAAATTATTGTAATTAAATTTTCGTAACTATCATCATTTATATTAGTCAACTTAACTGATATTGTCACCTAGTATCATTGTTATTGTTGAAATTATTTTTTAAATAAGTATAAATTTAATTAATAATGTAAATAAAACAATTTATCAATTATTATAGAAAATAAAGAGATTTTTTTTTTTAAATATTGTATAATATTTATAAGAATATTTAAAATATACCAAGTATATTTTTAACATTTTCAAAGAACAGATGTTTTTCACAAATTAAAAAAACAGTACAATAAAGCCTCCTTGGTGTCTATACTCAAGGAGTATCTATGTAATATTTTTCATTTCCATTAATCAGCATGTCATTGAAATTTCTGTTCCTTTGTTTTTCTTAGCCATATTAGTATGTTTGGTCTAAACAAATAATGGCTACTTTACACAGAAGCTTCCATTCAACAGACATTCTCTTTGCTTAAATTGGGTTTGATTCTTTCTCTGTGATAAGTCAGATGATCAACCCTTGCCCTTTTTATTTAATTATTAATGAAAGAAAATGCAACAGTGTGCCCATTTATTGTAACTTTCATAATGTGTTTTTAATATTTAGGGCGGTTTAGCTTGAAAAGTTAATTTGTTTCTATTTTTAATTACAATAACTCATTTTATTGTAGTTTTATTTTTAAATATTAATATAAAAATAATGTAAGTAATAATTTATTATTTTTACTATATCTTATAATTTGACTACTTGAGATCAAATTCAGAAATTGCACTTCGATCTGTTTTTGTCTTATGTAAAGACTATGTATAACAGGCCTTGCTTAAGTGAGTTAAAAAATGGGTCCGTGAATTCCTTAATTAGTCTTAAAAGTTTGATTCAAATGCTTTGAATCATTATTTCAACGTGAAAGACTTTATTAAATTGAAAACAACAATAATATTCTCACATCCGTTTTTTATTTTATATTCCATTTACACTAATTTTATATTCTATTTCTCGTTTCTTTTTTCATCACATATTTACCTTTTTTTAATCTCTATTACTTATATCCATTTCACACCCCGTTATTTTTATCCAATTGAGAAAAAATAGACTAATTGATGTGTACACATGCTGTTCTAAACACTCGCTCAATCCTTAGAAAATAAAATATAGGTCCTTTATTATCTGATATGTGTAAAATGGAAACCATAATATGGTTAAAAGTGGACAAAAAATAATGAAATCTAAAATATTATTTGATAATTGTAGAGAAGTAGATTGAGAATATGGAAAGTGTATTATTCCCTATGCCGCCATCTCTAGATTACATAGCGAGAGACAGACTTTCAATTTGGACCAAATTACAAATTACCAGTACAGAAAAGCATACCTTGATTGAGAAGAAGGGAACTGAAAACATTATTATTATATATTTTCAATACGTGGGAAATTGTTACTCAATATCAACAAAATGTAATATAGAGAGGAAAGCTATGTCAGAACATGATGGTTACAAAGAAACATGACTCCTTTTTGGTCAATGATTATTTGACACAAGTAAAGTTGTTGATTTTGGAGGCATTTTTGCGGTACCAATAAGATTAAGATATCACTTCATTCATTTGTGTCCATCCCCTGGGCTAGGATTAGATACAACTTCTTCATTGGCAAAATGAGCAACGAACCTGCCATTGCCACGCATGAGATGACTAGTGTCCTTACTTGAAAGTGGCGTACCCTGCAAAGAGAGCACTTGTTGTGTCTCATTTTTGAGGATCTTTCGAGCATCTAATTCCGAGGAATAACATACCAAAACAAGGAGAGTGATGAGTAAAGCATAATTCAAGCGAGCCATGTAGAGCTGCACTAGTGTAAGCAAAGTTACCAATGTGTTTGTATCTTTGTGATATGCTGAAAGAAAGAATGGCATATGCATGCTATTTATAGGATTTTAATCCTCTAAATGTTCGTGTTTCTTTTTTCATTTGACAGAGAAAAGACACAAAAACAACTATAGTATGACCCTCCTTTATTGGTGTATGGTTTTTAAGTATGTATTTTTCTTTAACATGAAAAGAAACACGAGGGGAAAAAGACATGATGTGAACCAAATTCCTATTTATTATACCTATGTAAATATCTAGAAGAGTGGAAGAGTGAGACGTCAGGATTACCCTATTTGAACAGGTTGAAATCTACCTAAGTACAAATGGTATGTTTGGATGAGAAATGAAAAAAAGGGATGAAATAAGAAGGAATAAAATAAGAGATGTAAAAAAGATAATGTATGATGGATAGCAATAAATAGGAAGGAAGTGAAGAAAATTATTTTTGCATGTTTGGTTCAGTGAAAAAGAGAATAAAAAAAGTAAATAGATGATATGATTTTTTATAATGCTTCAAAAAAGAAATTGAATTTTTTATTATATATATATATATATATATTATCTTAGTATAAATTTATTAATTATTTTTTTATAATTCTTTGGCTATAAAATAATAATTTTATTTTCTAAATAATTAAGTCTAAATAAAAAATTGCTATTGCATTTCACAACTGAAAGGAGAAGAAATGAAAAAGGTGGATCCCATAGAAATGGCAGCAATTTCATGCCCAAACGTGAATCCATCCAAACCAGAGAGAAATATGTAGAAAATTATCATTTCAGTCCATGCTATTTCAACAAAAACAAATAAAGTGTAAATGTATTACTTTAATTTTTTTAGTTTTATTTTTCAGTGAAAATAAAAACATTATCTTGTTAAGTATAATTAACATTGACCTTTATTACATCAATTACTAAGGTGAAACCCTCATTTTAATTAAAGAAACACAAAAATATTTACTTAAATTTTGTCTAATAGGCCATTATAAG